TACAATTCCTTTGCATTGTGCTAGAAATGTTATATTTAAAGAAGTACTGTTACGATAAAGATACTAATTTGGCCGGAAATGTTTTGCGGTCTCTGCTAGCTAGAATAAACACTAGAAAATAACTTTCAATAACAAAATGGAAGTAAAATATGATAATCGAAATATAATAAATGATATAAAGAACTAGAAAAATAAGGGAAAAGTATAATATATTTGCAAAATATAATGATGAAAAGAGACAAGCAGAAAATTTAGCAAAATTTAGATGTAGAAATGACTTGATGGGAAACAGTTATTGAAAAACGCCAGCATATTATGCAAGGAAGAAGAAGTTTGAGTTTGTTTTAGAACAAAGCCACATTGGATTATCTGCTGTGTCCACCGCGGGGAATCGAATCCCGGATTTTAGCGTTGTAAGTCAGCAAAGTTACCGCCGTCTCACTGGCGGACAAGAAGAAATATTACATTAAAAGATACAGTTTGTTTGTAGATTAGCACAAAGCTACACAAAGGGCTATCTGTGCTCTGCCCACCACGGGTATCGAAAACCGGTTTCTAACGTTGTAAGTCCGCAGACATTCCGCTGTACCACTGGGGGGCTATAATATACAGAAATCATAGACAAGAAAGGAAGTAAAAAAATGACTAAACAAAAATGAAAAGGGAATAAAGGAGATGCAGAGACTGTTTGTTTTTTTTGTTAAGTACCAGCTACACAATTGGCGATCTGTGCTTTCTCGGGTGCTGGTATCGAAACATTACTTTTAGCATTATAAGCCTTCAGACTCACCCCTGAGCCAATAGTGGCTACAGAGACTCAAGAGTGTGTGGAAAGAAAATTTTAAAGGAAAAAAAAAGAGGGAGAATAAAAAGGCGGAAATGGAGTTTGTAAGAGAAGAAAGAGCAGGATTAAATAGTAGGAGAGTCAACCATTTGAATTCTAAATCCAATTTCATAATCAATTTATATAGAACAAACTTCACAGTGATTTATTTATATAATATGGTCATTTTTAAGGATTTAGTAAGTTGTTTAATTGTGGTAATTCCCTTCTACACGCAGCTGTGGAGGATGTGTACAAATGTTCTGTGTGTACTAAAGATATACATAACGTTATACATGCATTACTACGAAGTATCCCTCTACTCTTTGAGTAAACAAATCAAGGTTCCAAGGTCTAAGAGATTAGGTTAGTTTTTTAGGCGGAAATTTTGAAATGATAAAAACACATATACTGGTACATTAATAATGAAGAACTTATTTTTAAATCTACAGTTGAATATTCTCTCATAGAATAAAAGATCGACTATGATATAATATGATACTGAGAAATTAGAAGTAATAAACAAGTTGCTGCATTTTCGCGCCATAAAATTTTAAAGTTCAGCCGAGACTTACAATTTTATAAATAAATCCATTAGCAACTTAGACACATGTTATATAAACTTAAGCATTTTAAAGCATGATAAGAGGCTTAAATAGAAAATATTTTGAATAAGATATTAAGTTGGTGTGTAAAGAAATAGTCCACGACCTTCCAGTATCGCTTACAGTTTAAAATATTTTACAATAAAGCTACTCTTACCATATACCGCCAGATGTCACTATATTTACACTTCACAAACACAAACTAAACTCTTAGATTATATCACAAACACTTCTCGCTGCCTTCCAGATTCTGAAAGGACATATACAATGGTACAAAAGAACATATTTTAGATGAATTACTACTGAGAATTACATATTTCTAACGCCAAGAATGTTTCCGTATTAGCGATATCAGGCGGAGATAAATTAAAAAGCACATACCGTGATGGTTATCACGGGTTACCCGTAAATGAAATCTTAGGTTAACTAGTGTTTTGTACAGAAATGCACTATTTTATACTCAATTCTGTAACTAAAAAAAAAAAGAAAAAAAAATCTTTAAAATCTGGAGGGGTATAACCCGTCCCCCCAGACTCTTTCGCCTATATATACAAGTAAAATGGGCCGGAAAATCATATAGGTACTCTTTGATAGGTAGTTTAGGTAGAGTATTCATACTGAATTGGCTGTTAAATGGGCGACTACTGCCTATAAGAGAACCTTTTATAAATATATTTGTGACTATACAATCTGCTTATGCAGTTTCTTTAATAGGCAGTTGCCACCCATTTCACAGTCAACGTATTCACATATTAATGATAGCCATTTAATTTGAATCTTGCAACAATTAGAAATAATTATAACGTTGATTAGTCTATTCGGTCAGTTTCAGTCGTCCTTAATTCATCATGATAGCTTTCTCAAAACTGTTAAATGACACGAAATAAAATGATTTTACTAATAATCGATCTTGGTGGCTTAAATCCCTGTGGTGATCACATTATAGATAGTCCATTATATAGCTTTATGCTTAAAAACTAACAAACAAATATTAATGTTCACTGGAATTGACATGAACTGCTTTGAACCGTTTTTTTTCCTTCCTCTTTCAATTGTTTTCACATTTTATTTCTGTAAAAATACATTCTACTGCAGTATGTATCGTAAATACAAAATTTGACTACTGTTATTGTTAATATTATCATGCATTAGGTCGTCAAGAAATTAATGCCGCGTTTTGGAACACCTTCATTAACCATCCCC